TTTTAATGTTTACTAAAGATTTGCTAATATCTTTTGAATAGAATCACCCTTTTCTTTCTAGTTTAGTGATTACAATCATCTCGAAGTATTTAAAAGAAATATTGACGCACATTTAAATATTTAACCCCTTCAGTACAAAAGTATTTACATATTTATTTATTCAATGATAGCTTTATTTTTAACAAACATAGAACGAAAAACAGAGGACGCAACACTTTCAAAAGACGCGGGAGGTAGGGTTGGATTGTCGTGGTGGAAATTAAATTCTATAGCAAAAGTGATGCGCCCTACGTTTTTCTTTTTTGGTCTTACAATTCTTAAATAAAATTCTTTTCTACTTTTTAGTGTTATTAAAAAAGATAGTTTTTAAAATTTCTTTTTATACATTTTTATAGTTGTCTGTTAATAAGTTTATCATGGAAAGCATTCGAAATTTCGATGACGACTGCTAGTAGTACTTAAGAAATAATGTAACTTGTATTGTCTTTATACAACTATTGTAGAAATTCAAGCTATCTAGCTAGTCGAAAAGTATAAAAAAAAATTAATTTACACTGAAACCGTTTGTAGCTGTCAGGAAACGGATGAAACTTGTTTTGTCGTCACACATAGAGCTCAGGTGCAGATTTAAGCACTTAAGCTAGTCAGAAATTGATAGGAATTTTGAATGACGACAAATTCCCATCGATGATATTACGGCGATAATTTACAGCGGCCACCAGACAGGGATGAACCTGAATTGTCATCAGCTCTAGATGAGATTTGATCTCTTGAGTTAGTGGAAAGACATCGAAGTTTTCGATGGATGATAAATTCTATTTGGCGATGACGATAAATTGAGGATGACGATGAAAATTACGATAAATTTAGTTTGAAGAGGTCAGGAAACGATTGAGCCGAGCTAGAGGTTTGAATGCTAGTTTAAAATTGATCAAATTTCGGATCGCAAGATTCCACCATCACAAACTGGAAAGCGAGTTAATAAAAGACGTAGTTATCAAATACTCACTGTGCGTAAGGAATCTGTGTGTCTGTCTTTATTTCTGGATTTAAAAATCATCACTTATACCAGTGATTACCAACTGGTGGCCCGCGGGTCGCATCCGGCCCTTGAAGCTTTTTTTGTGACCCTCGAACTAAAATGTATTAGTTGTCGTTTTTTTTGCTGACAATTTTCGTAAAAAATCTACATAGGCTTAAAATATTTTTCTTTCGTTTAAAAAAACATAATTTCTTGGTTTCTGTGAAATTTATCATACCAACCAACGGTGCAAAAAATTTATTTCTCAGGTTTTGCATCCAAGAAAATATTTATTCAAACGCAAAAATAATCGTGTATGTAGCACTTTTTTATTTCGTTTTTTTAATATTATGTAAATATAATTTAGTATGCGCGTTTCAGAAATTTTCTCGAGGAAATTCTCCCATTTAACTTTTTGAAACCACTCATTTTGGAGGAAATTACTTACATTTGTAAATTTTAAAACGCATAAAAGAGGGAATGAATATCACGTTTTATTTAAATTCCTTGAATTGAATATCACATGAGCAGAAAAGAAAAAAAAATTAATTTCAGATGCTCGAGAATTTGTTTTTTTGCCATAATTCCTAATAAGTCGAAAAATATGTTAATTGTTAATGTACAACAATATTTAATGTTCCTTTAAACATAAAAGAGTCCCATATAAAACTTTGATGAAGTTGTGGCCCGCTATTTGACTGGTGTTTTTAATTGCGGCCCTCGGCCCCATGTAAGTTGGAAACCCCTGACTTATACGAAATTTAACGAGACTCTTGAAATCAATAAGAGCCCAATTTTTTAAAATGAAATGTACTTTTCTTTTTTTAATTTATAATATTGAATCGACAAAAGAGGACCCCCAAATAAAAATAAATATATAAACTAGACTTATGGCGCTGCTGCTTTTGGACGAAGCAGAATATAGCCGACGTACCTTCAGACGTTCGCCATGTAAATTAAAAAAAATAATAATAATTTTATTAATTAACTAAATCGTCATTATGAGCACAGTCAGAATTTGTTAAATCATTGCAGTTGTTAATCTATTTCCTTTCAAGACTTTTCTATGGATTTCAGCATTTTTCTATCGCATCGGAGATCCCACCATATCGATTTACCGATTTCTCCATGATTCAACAGTTTGTACTGTGATAAACATTTTCTTCTATATACGTACTGATTTTTAAATTTCCTTGTCTTACATTTTTTACACTATCGTCAGAAAACTCAAAAGGGGCATTTTCATTACCTGCGAATGAAAACTGGATTAAAGGAAAATATTTATCAACAAAAAACTCGTCTGTCAGGTTCTCGTCCGCATGCGAAAAAATCGCTGGCAAAAAAAATGCTCCCCAATTCTCACAACTCCTTACATTTTTTATTTATGACAAATATAATTATTTTACACGCTTAAGAAGTCGAGACAGCTTCTTTTCCCTTTTTTTCAATTGGCTGTTTGTTGTTGTTGTTGTTGTTGTTAATTTACGTCGCACTAGAGCTGCACAATGGGCTATTGGCGACGGTCTGGGAAACATCCCGGAGGATGATCCGAAGACATGCCATCACAATTTTGATCCTCTGCGGAGGGGATGGCACCCCCGCTTCGGTAGCTCGACGACCTGCGCGCGAAGTCAAGCACTTTACGGTAGCACAGTTTAACGAGGACCAATACCGCACACCCTCGGTCCCTACGCAGACTGATCCAAGTGGTCACACACCCGCACACTGACCGTAGCCAGTGATGCTTGACTTCGGTGATCTGCTGGGAACCGTGTCTTAACGATCAGTCGTCTACTGCGGGACCAATTGGTGGTTTGAAGTTAATACACAACCAGAACGGACCTTTTAACCGTTCCGTTTTCAATGGATCGTTTTGCCTCTTATTGAGGTAAAGCCAGGAAAGGATTTAAACCAGTTCTATTGCGTAACAAAGTTGGCCTAATGTGATTGATAAAGGGGAAAATTTCTCCACATGCTTCAGAGCCGATTATTGTTCATATTCAGAGCAAAGATGAGGCCTTTGTGAGGCAAATATTTAAGTTTTGGCCACAATTTCGATTAACAGTTAACTTAGCTCTGTTACTAAATAAAAATTTGATTAGTTGGCCATTACACCCCATTTACATGGGTCCTGGCATCAGGTTTGTTACGTTATAAGACCGAAAAAATACTCTGATTTCCACCTCTGATTCTCCAAGCATGCCTTCAGACAAGCATAGCCGGGTGAAGACACTTTCGAGTTAAGCCGAAATTCAGGGGAGTGATGATTGGCTCTTTGCGTTAAGTGGTTATTTTCTGCAAATCCTTTGTTGTCCAGCAATTTTACACATGTCATGTCTCCAGCGGCAACAATTTTACTATTGAATATGGAAGTAAAGTAAAACATTCTAAGTATCAATAACATGCTCAAATGTTGTTGACTGTCGACGAGTTAACTCGGCATTACAAGAGTTAACTCGGCAGAAGATTACTTTCAGACACTTTTTTTCAGTCCTTATGTGAATAGGGTGCTACGGAGGAATGGTGGTGCCAACGAATCTGCAAGTTTAATGAAGCCGGCTATTGAAGAAGATAATTTCTATTATTTATTTTATAACTAAAATCTCGTTTTTATTAAATGAGACGATACCGACCAAAAGGATCTGATTGTCGTCTGGTCATGCAAAGGACGCATCTCTGTCGCAACAAACTTCTCATTCACTTCTATTTCTCCAAAAGTCCTACATTTCCTACAATGTTTTCAGAAAGTGATGCATTCAGTCGCTTTGTGTCTTAGGTCTGCAAAAAATAGAATTTTCTCTTTTTTTAGTGCTTTGAAAATTGAAAAACGTGTCTCGTTCATAAGGTTTTACTTTGTTCTCCTCTCTCTCTTTGCCCTATTTCTTACATTCATATGTATATGTGTGTAAACTTAATTATTCGTTTTAACTGTGATGATGTTATGCTGACTGTTTCCAAGAATTATTGCCCATTAACTAGTGAAAATAATCTTTTAAGAATTTTGACTTTTTTTGGCTCTTTGTGAAAGGCGATTTTTCCATCGTGAAATTAATAAGATAATCTATTTGTATCTATACTTTCTCGTGCATTTATATCTTCAAGAGGCAGTAAAAAACCCATTTCAGCAACATGTATCGGAAAAATGTATATTATTAGTGCAGCTGTAATGGGCGCAAATATATCCATAAAAATACTTTGTATCCATATAAGAGTATATGATACCTATAAGACTGCGTTAATTACCATGATGCCAGTAGGGCCCATTTCCAAAGTTAAGCATCATTGGTGTCATCATTAAACCTCATTCGTGGTAGCGGCTTTTTACGGTACCCCAAAACGAATAAATACGTTTTCCCATTAATTTTGTTTTTTAATTCATGACTTACTTTTTTTTATTGCCAAAATTAACTTAGCATCATTGACGCCAATAATAGTTTGTCCCACAGTAGACTGATCGTTAAGACACAGTTCCCAGCAGATCACCGAAGTCAAGCATCACTGGCTACGGTCAGTGTGTGGGTGACCACTTGGATCAGACTGCGTAGGGACCGAGGGTGTGCGGTATTGGTCCTCGTTAAACTGTGCTACCGTAAAGTGCTCGACTTCGCGCGCAGGTCGACGGGCTACCAAAGCGGGGGTGCCATCCCCTCCGCAGAGGATCAAAATTGTGATGGCATGTCTTCGGATCATCCTCCGGGATGTTTCCCAGACCGTCGTCAATAGCCCATTGTGCAGCTCTAGTGCGACGTAAATTAACCCATCCGCCATTTGATTTTAAATGATTTAGTTTTATAAACACACATTTTAAAAGCATAACTATAAACAAAATTAACACGTAAACTTAAGAATATTAGACGTAGCTCGAATTTGCACTTGATTGATTTTTCGCAGAAAGTGAGAATGTAAACTGCAAATTTACTTCGAAATTTTTATTCCATGAGGTTAGCATAAGCGAAATTAATTTCATCCTCTCTGTAACCGTAACTACGTTACTTTTAAATCCAGTTTTGGTTTTGAAATCGTAGGCAATGACAATAGGGTGCAACGTGTTATGTTAATGTCATCCACCGATTTTGAAATATTTTCTATAATTTTATTATTTATAGTCTTTTTCAGTGAAGAGTTTTATGTTTAATACCATTTACATCACAAACTAAGAAATGTTAGTTATGATCATCTGAAAGATATTGTGTTAGTGTTTAAAATCCAAAATTATCTTTGTACATTTCTCATTAATTAATCACCCAGTATTAATTAAGGAAGTTATTCAAATTAAAACTAAATAAATCTACTAGTAAGTGTATCTTTGTTATACTATGGTATTATCATTCAAAAACAGTTGCAAAGGTTTATCCAAAAACTATTTTATTTTAATTAGCAACTACGAATTGAGTGATTTATAAATACTTTGAGTAATTTATAATTAATTTATCTTTTTTCATTTAAATGTTTCTCATTTTTGTTTTTCAGATTCTTATTTGAAATGGCAAAACAAGTAAGAGACTATTATTTGTCATTTTATACATTCTTAATTTGTTTTTTAATTGATTCAGTGATTATCCCAATTGAAGCTTATCTTTAATTTTTATTTATTTATTTAGTTTATGTATTTTTTTAGTTTATGTATTTTTTTAATTTTGTTTATTTATTTATTTTTTGAAGTGAGGTCATTTGTTCTCAGTTTTATTATAGCAATTATATAAATAAAGCTCTAATTGTTTCTTGACATTTTAAATGAATTTTACAATTTACACTTTTCTTAAAAGCAAATTTAAACTAGATATTTCAAGAAATCATCGATCACATTTATGTATAAATATTCTTGTATGTTTTATTTAAAAATATTAGAACTAAAATTCATACTTGGCAACTCTTTCATTGGTAAATATTTTTCTGTTCACATAATAAATGTGAGTGGAGATAAAAGTAAACTTATAAATAATTATTCATTTTAATTATGCTGCATATAATTTNTCTAATTGTTTCTTGACATTTTAAATGAATTTTACAAATTACACTTCTTAAAAGCAAATTCAAACTAGATATTTCAAGAAATCATCGATCACATTTATGTATAAATATTCTTGTATATTTTATTTAAAAATATTATAACTAAAATTTATACTTGGCATCTCTTTCATTGGTAAATATTTTTTCTATTTGCATAATAAATGTGTGTGGAGATAAAAGTAAACTTATAAATAATTATTCATTTTAATTATGCTGCATATAATTTCTTTAGAATTACATGTTATAAAAATAACAATGATTTAAATTTATAAAGACATTAATTTTTTGAAATGCGTCATTAACGATTTTACTCAAAACATTTTCAGGACTTTTGAGTTGGGGTCGCAATCACCCATGATTAATAATTTTATTGACATATAATTTTGCTTAAAGAAATATTGCCTGGTTTAAAAGATTTATTGTTATATGCTTTGTTTGTGTAGAGGAACGAATAAAAATTAATTATTAGTGTGAAAAAACACTTCTAAGCGTCATCAATTCGTAAATATTTATTATTCAAGCATGTTACCAAGTTTTATTGCAATTTAGTAAGGTTTTTATTTGTCTCTTCAAACTAGGAGGTTGTTATTATTTCTCATGCCAGAACTCCTGTTGGCTCTTTCCGAGGTGGCCTTTCTTCTGTTTCTGCTGTAGAACTGGGCAAATTTGCAATTCAAGGAGCAGTTGCAAGAGCAGGTAAAGAATAAAAAAATTCGATACTAATTACTAATTAATTAAACAATATTTTCCCCCATTTATAATCGTCCAAAATTATAAAAAATATGAGATCTTATTTACACCAATTTATTTGCCAATATAGCTATAGTAGTAAATTTAGTGGAGAGTATATGTTTTTAAGTTCTAAAAAAAATGGTTGAATACGTAATTCTTTAATATAATTATTTTATAAAGGAAGATTTAAGAAAAATGTATGTTATATATATATATAGTGTAGTTATTTCTTATCATTCATAAATTAATGTTGTGAAGCATTACCACATTAAATTATATATTTACATAATAAGAAAAACTCTCTCATATTTATGAAACATATTAATCTTTTTGAAAAAATACTTAATAATTATTAAAATATATATATATATGTAACATAAAAGCTTCAATTAATCTTTTCATGTTATTCCTTTTCTGTAAATCCTTTTCTTAATTTACTATTCAAAACAAAACGCTTTCTCACACTTTTAAATTCACATCCTGTCCTTTGATCTATTTTGAGCTGAAGTATGCATTAGTTAAAAGTAAGGCATTTTGTGGGAATTGCTCAACCTATTTAATAAACCAATTACAATTACTAAGATTTCCTTAAAATGAAACATTTTGCTGATTTACTTTGCAAGATTTGCCCTAACTTATATTGCACAACATTTCTTGACCTCTTTGATAAACGTTCTCTGTCTAATAATTAATAAATAAATTTTGTACCCTCCTTCCCTGCCTAAAACCTGTTTTACTCCTTCTACTTGGCAACAACGTTATATATATATATATATATATATATTTAATACTGCAAACAAACCTCAATATCCCAAACTATGGGAGACACTAAAGACTTCTATAATATCAAAATATTGGGATATTGAATATCCCAATTGGATGACATGTATTTTCTTCAATAATCGTTCAAAATTTCATTAAATCTACTTGTGAGGTGCATGATTTTTATGATGCATACATGATCTTTATTTCAATTATATATTACAGTGAAGCATCGTTTATACGACGCCGAAGGGACCACCGAAAAACGTATAAACGATAACGTCGTGTAATTGATTTTTACTTCTAAAACTGAAACTAACTCTGTTTTCAGTTCATTTTAATGTTTAACGTGTTGATTTACATAAATTTCTAAATTAGACAAAGCAAAACAAACAAACAACCAAAGAAGAAAAATTGCTGTGAGCAATTTGAATATATGTTACCTTTAATTATATTTTCTTGCTATTAGTCTCTACAATGCTTTGAATAGCGAGTTGAACTTACTGCTTTCTATAATACAATTTTAGATTTCTAATCAAGGTCAAATCTAATGGCTGAAGCGCACTTGTGCAATTTGCAGAAAAAAAGAGAGCTTTTACATTTTCCAAAATAATTAGTATCGATGGGTGCGCTGGACATTGTCGATGAATAGCAAAATGTTTCGTTTTTGCCTCTTCATAACATTGTCTAGTTTTTTCAGTCATGTACTAAAAATTACGGTCGTCATCCAAGCATTCTTGTTGGCACCCTTTTCTGTATCATTCATGTTGGCAAATTCCACCCTTTTTTAAAATACACAAGAAAAAATAAAAAATTAAATAAACGTGAACAAAATCTAAAAACCGACGTATAACCGATTCTGTGCGTCGTATAAACGATATATTTTTACATTAAAATTAATAGGAATGATTTGGGACCACACTAAAACGTCGTATAAATGTAAACGTCGTATAAGTGATCGTCGTATAAATGATGCTCCACTGTATATATAATCCATAAATAGAAGAAAATTATATAAAGAGTTAGTTAAAACAATTATATATTATATATAATCCATAAATAGAGCTTATATCTAATGCGCTATCATTTAAAACCTATCCCACAAAGGAAGTATATTATTGATCTAATTATCTCAGAAAATAAGATAATGTGTCTTTAGTAGCTTGGGAAATTGATTAATCCCACATTACTTAGACCTATTAATATTTAAATGTACTGTCCAGAAGGATATAAAAACCATCTTTCCAAGGTCAATTGTCTCTTCTCTATCCACCCACCAGCATGTAATGTTCTCACTTTTGGGCCTATGGCCCTTACTTTAATAAAATTATATTATTTCTCCATGTTCCTGTATTTTTTTCTATAAACACCGGCCACACTACAAATTAACAATGTTAAAATACTTTTAAAGCGATATATTGAATTATGTCTGCAAAAGTCCTCATCCCTTTAATGAAAAGAAGAAAGAGCATTAATTTTGGTTTAAAACTTATGGTATCATTATGTTTTTAAATTTTTTTTCCATAACCATTGATGTGATATATTCAATATGAGATTTGAATGTCTCTTCATTTGTTTATTATTCTTATCTTACTTTTTGATTGCAGGCATAGAAAGTGATGCAATTCAAGAAGTATATATGGGAAATGTGCTCCAAGCTAATCTCGGACAAGCACCTGCAAGACAAGCTTGTATCGCTGCAGGTATGAATCTTTCTGCTCTTTTTACATTTTCCATGTCAATATATTTAAAATATGCAACTGGGAAATACTTGTAGGAAAAAAATTCTTTGTTTAAAATGTACTGATAGAATTAAATAGCCTTGTCATAATTTTGTTATAGTTCTATATGTGATTATAAATTACATATGAAAACTGTGTGTAACCATTTTGTTTTTCTATTTATTTGATTAAATTTTAAAAGTTTTAACCCATTGCTGAAAAAATTAAAATTGTGTATCACTAGAAATCACAAATGTTTAATTGGTAGAAAAAGAATACTAACGGAAAAAAGAAAAAAATTTCCCCCCATTAATTTCTATTAACAGAGTATTCTGAGTAGATAAGTTCTACTGCATTATCGGCATCAAAATGCGATAAAGGTTGCGCAGAGTAGAATTCTCTACCTATGGTAGTATTTTGTATGTTTTCCCCATTACCATTAGCAGGATACTCATTGGTAAAGGAAGTGCATTAATTTCTCTCTTCATTTTCAGATAGATTAAAATCTTGTAAGTTAGGATACTATATGGAACTGAAAATTGAATTAAACATAGTTCTAAAAGAAACCGTCTTCGAAATTTTAGAAAATATGGTTATTAATTAAGTATGAAAAATATTATTGAAGGGAAAATATGGTAGCACATTCCCATACAACTGAGGAGAGGGAAGGGTCAAGACATGAAACCGGTCTTCTAGCCAGATGGCTTATTCGAGCATTGAGCTGGTGAATGCTTTATGGTATGTTTTACTGCAGGCTTTATAAATTGAGCCCTGTATTAACCTGGAGTGCTACAAGGTGTTAATGACTTCAAGCCTAATATTATCCTTTTAAATGTAATCAGTAGCTTATCAAAACGAAAATTTCCATGTATTGGAATTTTTTATTTTATTAATGTAAGTTATGAAAATTGTGTCTTAAGTGAAAAAGCTTTGAGGTTTTTCACTCTCTTTGCTATTTTATACATACCTCAAGTTGTTTTTTCAACAGTTGTCTAAAAAAAAAAGGAAATATAATTATTTGTGCTCATGTGAACGTTTTCTTCTGTAGGTCATCCTAATTTTTTTATCGACTTCTGTTAACGTATATGTTATTAGGGAAAAAGTACTATTGTGTTATTGTTTGTTCTACTGTATTACCATTAAAATATGAAAACAATTCATTCACTTCATTTCAAAGCTCATAATTATTGCTTCTACATTAGTTTTCTTTTAAAGGTCTTTCCTTGTTCCTATTATATTTTATTTTGATTTCTGTTAACATTTGTTTTATTTTATTAGAAAAAAAGTTTTAACTATTTTTTTATGCACTACTATATTATTTTATATTATCTGTACTTTTTATTATCTATTATGATATAAAAGTATAAAAACAATTCACTACTCCATGTAAAGTTTTATTACTATTACTTATGGATGGTGTTTTCTACACTAGGGAACGCTGCAAGCTCGGGACTGCCTAAATTTCCGGGTTACTGTTTCAGTTGTATTTTAAAGCCATTTGGCATCATTGTGTTTTGAGATTCTTGAAAACAATGTATTTGATTCCTTATTACTTATGTTTATAATGCTAACAATACTTGTGTTTACAATACTAAAAGNTTTTCAACAGTTGTCTAAAAAAAAAAGGAAATATAATTATTTGTGCTCATGTGAACGTTTTCTTCTGTAGGTCATCCTAATTTTTTTATCGACTTCTGTTAACGTATATGTTATTAGGGAAAAAGTACTATTGTGTTATTGTTTGTTCTACTGTATTACCATTAAAATATGAAAACAATTCATTCACTTCATTTCAAAGCTCATAATTATTGCTTCTACATTAGTTTTCTTTTAAAGGTCTTTCCTTGTTCCTATTATATTTTATTTCGATTTCTGTTAACATTTGTTTTATTTTATTAGAAAAAAAGTTTAACTGTAATTTTTTGTGCACTACTATATTATTTTATATTATCTGTACTTTTCATTATCTATTATGATATAAAAGTATAAAAAAAATTCACTACTCCATGTAAAGTTTTATAACTATTACTAAGTTTTATAACTATTATTATATGAAATTTTCTTATCTATGCTACTTTTTTCTAAAAATAAATTTCTCTTAACAGGTGTATTATTAAAAAAGAAAAATTAATGTATGATATACTTTATCTTTTATTTTATTACCTTTACGATGTGCAAAAACAGTTAATCTATTACTTGTAAGGTTTTATAGCTATTTCTCTTTTGAAAAAAAAAATTTTTTTTTGCAGGTCTTCTTCCATCTACTACCTGTACAACTGTTAATAAAGTTTGTGCATCTGGTATGAAAGCTATTATGTTAGGAGCTCAAAGTATTATGTTAGGCTTTCAGGTACATTTCGATTATTATCTCTGTTTCATTGTTAAAAACTTTTATTAAATATAACTTAAATTTTTCTATTATATGCCCTATTGTCCAATCTAATAACATGGGTAGGACTGGTTTGTTATGTAAAAAAATGCAAGTCAAAATGTGTTTTCAAATCAGTTAATAACATATTTTTTTCAGCCAACTCTTATTGACTAAGATTAATTGATTTATGTACATATATACATGGTGTCCAACAATTTTGCAACAAACCTTTCGAAAAAATAGGGCACGTCATAAAATTTGCATTACAATTCATGACTCGAAATGTCATTTTACACTACTGTGCTCTGTAGTACACATAGCAGCACTGTGTGGGCATCCTTAGGTATACTCTTCCCATACGTCTAATTCATCAAATTATCATGTATTAAACTTTAGGAATCTGCAATGGTACTCATGGACAAACTTTCCTGTTATAATCAAGGAAATTGGTTCTTGTAATTGTGTCCATGGCGCTGCAAATGCTTTTTTGTTATCCATTATGCATTTTGAGCATCTATTGTAGCCTTTATTCATCTAGTATGCCATTTATTCTCATCATGTTCATCAAAGGTTTTCTTGCACTCTCTTGTGCTCTTTCAGATCTTCTACTTCTCTTTATTGACATTTTTGGTCTAGGTTACCCTTTTTTCAAGCCTTATAGTTTATCTCAACATTTTTTTTGACACTCTGTGAATATGATATGGGTGTCTTTATAAGTTTTTCTTTCATGTTTTCTTCTCTATCAATGTTAACTACATAATTAGTAAGAAGCATGTTTTTAACAAAATATAAAAAAAGTTTTTACTTTTATTTGTTGTATGTATTTTATTTGTTGTTAAACAAAACATGTAAAAGTTTTTTCATGCTAAGTCAGGGTGAGAAATTTCACCTCGCCTGCTTGTTTTTGATGACCAAACATTTAAGTCTGACTTAAGAATGACAAAGTCTAAGAGTCACAAGGACTAGAGTACCAATTGGCAGATGGTACTCTAGTGCTGAAAAACAGCAGTATGCAAATATGAAGCTTCAAAAGTTTAGGAACATTTCTGATAGTTTTCTTATTTCAATGGTATTTTTCTTATTTCAATGATATAGATAATATTGAAATCATTGAGATTTTATGTCAAACTTATATTTTTATTATTTTCTGATAAATATGATTCCCTTTTTCAGTTTATACATTCTTCTATAGTTTTGGTCACCAATAAGTTCTTTTTACTACTCTATTCATTTTTAAAAAAATTTCACACTTTTTGTGAAAATAGGGACTAGCAAAATTTTTAGTCTGACTAGTACCTTCACTGAAATTTCATGGGCTTTCAGTATATTCCCACTTAATTTGCTTTGAAAAAAAGATAACTGCGCTGGCAAGGAGTCATATCTTTCCTTTTATTAATTTCACGGCAAAAGATGTGGGTTTAATGCAGTATAAAAATCGTTTTTCTTATGAAACTACATGAATTTCAATTATTTGATTAACAATATAAGAAATTATTAATTAAATGATTAATAATGTTGAATATATTCTGGTGTTTTAGCAGCAAAAATATTTAATATTTGTATAGTTAAAATAATATATTTTAGACCCTAAAAGGGCCTGATTTTTCCTCTTTTTTTTAATTGATTTGAATATTTTGTTTTCTCCGGATTCACAGGAGAAACCTAATACTTTTCCTCTTTAAAAATAAAATAGTATTAATTATCGATGTTTGCTTTAAGATTTAATTTAATTTTTTATGATGATTATTTTGGTTAATTTTTATTAAAATTTCCTTAAAACTTTGATCCTATTGTAGGATGTTGTCGTCGCAGGTGGAATGGAAAGCATGTCTAATGCTCCTTTTTATTTAAAACGAGGAGAAATACCATATGGTGGAGTAGATTTAAAAGTAAGGAAATACTTTATTCATTATAATACAAATAATAATTTCTTGCCAAAACATAAGTAATGCTTTAAATTATTGCTATTTAAACTTTAATATGATTTATATAGTTTTTAAAATAAGACTTTTAGTAAGGTATCTGTTTTTCTTTTTTAAATTTGAAAGAATATGATCTAACATTTATCTTCATATAAAAGTATTAATATGTGTTATAATTTTGAAAGTAGATAAATTTATTTTCATTGAAATAAATTTGTAACATTTTGTGCAATGAATATTTTTGTGAGATGCAATCACTAATTTGTGTGAGAAGCAAATGATAATACTTACGTATGTAAAAATTTTGAAAATAAATAATTTTATTTTCATAAAAATGAAGTCGTACAATTTGTTAATTAAATACTTTTGCTGGATAAAGTCACTATTAATTATATTAGAAGCTGTAACCTCCAAGATATAAAATCGGCAAAAACTATAAAGAAGAAAAAAAATTAAGCACTGCAAAGCCATGCATAGCTTAGTTTGTACAAATGAGCTAAAATCTTTCTTGCTGTATCCAAATATCCTATGACATCAATCTGTGAATTTTCCCTCTCTATCACATTCGTTTTTACTTTAGTGCCATAATTGAGATACAAAACTGTATAGTCTTTTAGCTATGATATATTGCAAAATATTGTCTTCCAACCTAAAATTTTTGCAATCATTTTTGTTTGTTTATTTTTGCAACAAAAAATGAGTTACCTGTGTTATTTAACTACAATTTTTGATGTTTTCATTTCTAATATAATATTTCCATGTAAATTTTATTTTGGTTATATATTTATATTGTCAGTTATGCATATACTTTATATTGTCAGTTAATCAATTGTGTTAATTAGTGCTTTGATTTACTTATTGCTAGAATGTGATAAGAATCTATATTACAAATCAAGCATATTGAATTGTTTTTATTATTGTATAATGAATCATATTCATTCAACTTATTAGTATCTCATTGGTTCAAATGTTTCTTCAACATAGCAGTAGTGATTCAAGCTCTTGAGGGAGGGTTAACTCCCCCCCCCCATTTTTTTTGTTTAAAATTACTTTCTAAACCATAACATTATGGAAATGTTGCAATTTTTATCATGATCTTGATCTTTTTAAATTATAAAATTTACTTTTGGTTGAGTATTATAGCTTGTAACTAAAAACATCCATTAAAATATGCCAGCTTACTCTACCTGAGTTTATTTGCAATTTGTCTTATAATTTCCTAAATATTAAATTTTTGGGTTTCAACCTTTTTGGGATGCAGTAAAGATTGCAGAAAGCAGATGGTAAGTTGATATTTTTAAGATAATTGCTTGGGTAGATCTCCTCGAAAGATTTTGCTTGAGGACTCATAAGTTGTTATAGATGCCATTACTTTAATACCATATTCCAATATAATTTATATGTAATCAGCTTACTTTATTACTGTATCATGAAAACTTGTTAAATCAGAAACCTAGGTTAACCAAATTCAACTATTTTAGTCTTTTTTTCTCCCTTCAGTTGTTTCTTTTGTTTTAAGATAATGTTTATAAAATATTGCTACCATTTCCTGAGCTATGGCTGTCATTCTAAACTGTAATGCAAGTACTACAATATTTTATAAGCTGGAAAAGTTCACAAATTTATCAAAGCTCTCATCTGCTCATATTTCCTCATAGTGAGGTTTAGCAAAATGTTTTAAAAAAAATTGCGTAAATATTTTTTTTACTTGTACTCTTAAGAATGTTTTTTTTTTAACAGTTTCAATGTTTAATGTTACCTCACCAAAAGTTTTTGGCATGAAATTTTAATTTTAAACATGTAGATTTTAAAAAAAATCATTTAAAAATGATGCTTTATTTAAAATTTTTAAAACTAAACATGGAGTCCCTCTCCCCTACAAAAAGAATTCTAATAATTTATTATATGTATAAATTTTGTGATAAAAACTTATTAAAAAAAATTTTTATTCAAATTTTTTTCTGTAATACCCATTAGTTTAGAATAGCGTAAAACTTAAAAAATCATCACAAAAGAAAAAAAATTTAGACAAGAATAAAAAATTATAAGCGTTTAAAAATATATGAATAGTTTTTAATTTATTAAATTCTCAGAAGGGTGCAAGCCTACCCTCTTGATTGCCTTGTGAACACCCTTAAAACTTAATTCAACTTCTAACAAATGATAAGTGAAAATATTACTTTCATTTGCATAATCTATTTCATTACATTCATTTACATAATTTATTTCTCACTTTTATCCTTTTTAATGTTGCTTTTCTGCCTTGAAAAGGACCTACAAATTTTAAAGATAATTAACTGGAGAACATTGGCTAAGGGAAGAATGTCTTGGCATAGGCTTGTTGAGAAGGCCAAGGCCCATCCTGGACTGTCGTGCCAATGAGAAGAAGAAGAAGAATGTTGCTTTTATCTACTAACTATTTTTCGTCTCTTATTTATATTCTCCATTTTAATGAATTATATTGCAATTTTTATGAATAATTCTATTTACCTATTGATATTTTGCGTACTATTATTTTATTAGTGTTTCTGTATTAACTATAAATGTGTTGTTTATAGACTAATTTATTTCTAATTATTATAATTATTTTTAACTGAATAAAGTACTATTATATTATGCTTAAAATGTTGTTAGAGAACTGTTTATTTATTGATATGCTTCGTTCATGCCAATGTTAAAAAGCTTATTTTTAAGACTAAATTAATTTCTTATATCTTAAAGGATGGAGTGGTACATGATGGCCTAACTGATGCTTATGGTAATGGTCATATGGTAAATATATGCTGTTTTTATTTATTAGTTTATTATTATTTAAGAAAAAATTTTCAAGCTCTTTCATCGAGGAAAAAAGTAAGCCACAATTTCAGTACTTGAGCAAAATTTTAATTTTAAACCATATTCATACTATGCTCTTGAAAGAATGTGTATAGGTTTTAAAACAGACATGTAACTTAGAAAAAAAAATCGCCAAGTTGGTAAGATTTTATGTTGTAAAAGAAAATAATTAAATTCAATAAATAATTCTAAATTTTTGCATATTTTTATGATGTAACTTTTTAAACATAAAATTAGATCACAAATGCTTTTCACTTTTCTTAAACCTCTGCTGACTCTTTTCCGGGATTGTTATGACTCCCAACTCGAAAAAACTCACCTGAGAAAAGCCTAGTGGGTCTTTTATAATTGCATTTTATTATTAAGAAATCAGCTGTATACAAATGTATAATAAAATAACTATACAAACTACATACATTTAAATTTATATTATATCTTTTATTTCTATACTCTGTACTTTAAAATTTTTAATTAACTTTTTTAAAAACATGTATTATTGTATATAATGTATTAAGGTATTCTCTCAAAAATTTGAAATTCTAATTCACAGTACAATTGAAACTGTTTTAACAAGATACAATGTAAAATATTATAATAGTCAAAATTCAATGATATGGAAACATATAATTAATTTATAAAAATACATTGTAAATGCTATTTCCTGTGAGTCTTGTCACGTACAGTTTCAAATAATATTTTTAAAATATAGCACCTTTTATCTGGTGAAATACATCCTCTAGAACTTTTGTTCTGATGTAAAAGACTAGAGCTTATTCTAGAAGCTCTCTTTCACTGTGCATAATACAGAGTACAATAGCAAATAACACAGTTGAAAAAATAATGCAATGCACCATTGCATAAATACCTTTTTCAAGTTGAAAATTTACTTTGAAAGTCGATGTCTTTCATTTGAATTAAAATAAATAATTATTTTTTTTCTCTTTAATATTTAGCAGTTATTTTTTAAATCTATTCTGAAACAGGATAGGTAAATCCTACAAATGTAATTAAAACCTATTACTCTCACTAGCAATATTATAGTTAATTTATCAATGTAAATGACATTGATAATAAAATGTGATAATAATAACATGCATTAATAATTAAGGTTCATTAGTAGCTTAATCGTTTATAAAATTAGTGATATTAATACAAGAAGACTTACTCTAAGACTATAAAAAATAAAATAAATTTCAAAAAATTCAATTATATTTGAAAAAATCCAATTAAACTCTTAAAAAAAACTGAAAATCTTGTAGAAGGGTTTTTTTTTGTTGTTGTTGAAAGAAACACAGGTTTTAGGCAACCTTGTTCTTTGCACCATTTTTATAATCAACATACGAGACCCTGATTAATGATGGAAAAAGCTTAACCTAACTGTCATGAGTACTTAATGCAAGCTTTGCTGCAGTTATAAAAACTGCTTATCATGGACTAAAAAAGCCTTAATTCATATGAAGACACACTTTCAAAGAATAGTATTAAATCAGTTTTTATTAATTCTGATGTGTTAAAGTTGTTTAGATTAAGTATTAAGTTTTAAGCATTTATTTTACTTGACAATTTTACTAGTTAAAAATTTTCTTACTTAATGATTTTTGATTTTAACCAATTAAAAAGATTGTAGCTTTTAGTGCATGTTCTTTTTTCGCTCTAACTATGTTTTAAACCTATTTGGCTTAAGAATGAAAATAAATCATTCATATGTTCATACATGAAAATGTATCATTTCTTCATACAACACAAGTCATATAATTTACACTAACTATTTATAATATGATTTATACTCATTTTGATTATTTATTATATTCATTTACAGCACATCTAAGTGAAGTGCTTTGAGATGAAATTATTTCTGAAATTGCTAGAATGATTATTATTAAAAGCAGTGTTATTTTTTGTTAGCTGAAGCAATGCCAAAAAATTAAATTAGGTTCCTTTAACTTCCTACTTGACTATTAGTGATGGGGTAAAAATTTCTTTAATGTATTAAACTTTATGCATATAAATTTTAATTGTTCAAGCCTTTTTCTCTTTCTTTTCCTGCACTTTAAAATATTAAAATTCATAACTTGATTCAGTAATTTATAACTTTAATTGCTCAGAAAGATCTATGTTTNTGGCGGGGACCTATGTTTCTACATAATGTATGCAAGCTTAAGATTGAGAAAATAAAATTCATAACTTGATTCAGTAATTTATAACTTTAATTGCTCAGAAAGATCTATGTTTCTACATAATGTATGCAAGCTTAAGATTGAGAAAATAAAATTCATAATAATAAGCAATCAATGCTATAGCAAAATTATAAATAACCATTTTAATGCTATTTTTATGATTGAAATATAAAACTTGCAAAGAGAAAATATCTTTCCAAAATATTTTTAAAAATAAAATAGAATAAGAGGTTGAAAATTCAAAATTTTAAGGAAAGTTTGTCTTTACTTTTTCCACCTGCTCGAAATTAAATTACGCCACAACAAATCAATCTATTTTATTCTCTTGATTTGACATCATACTTCCAGTATTTTCAGTTTTTTATTGTTATTACGAGTGTATTCAGTGTCATTATTATTTTTTACCCTTTTTTTATAATATTATTTTTAGAAATTTTATTTTAAAATAAGTAATAAATCTTAATCTTAAAAAATGTTGGTGCAATGAATGTATTGTTAGTTACCAATTTAAGAGAAAATGTGTTGTACATGTCAAAACAGTAGGGACTATTAGTACAGTAGAGAACCATTTATCCGGTATCCAGATAACCGGGAAACCAGAAAACCGGGAAAAATTTTGTTCGATTTTCCCGCCATTTTAAACTAGAACGAAAAAAGCGGAAATTGGACTCATCCTTGAGCTTTAGTAGAGGAAAATGTAAGGAAGGGGGAAAAAATTTTCCCCGTTTACCCAGAGAAACGTCATTTCCTCCGTGACCTTGAAAGCAGGGAAGGGAGGAATGTTTTTTTTTCTTTCCTTTNATTGGGTTTGTTTTACATGATATTACTCATGGGCTGCAATAGTGGCACAACTCAAAAAACACGTGTTTTGGACTAAGAACAGGTGTAAATATGAAAATACACATTCTTTTCAGCCAATAGTACAACTCATAATTCAACTTGAAGGTAATATTCGTTTAATCAAACTAGAGCATTTTTTATGCATTTTCCTTAGCAATGAAAACTTTAAACCCACTTATCTCAAAACATGATTTTTTGAGTTGTGCTGCTATTGCAACCCATGAGCGATATAGTTAATTAAAATCTTAAAACTTATGGTTTTATTTCCAATAAAATAATATTTTCTTAGCATGTAATTGTAAATTGCAATTTTAAGGTATAATAAAAAATTTTATAAGTGTGATATAAAAATTTAATTAATCCACATATTATGAGATTAAAATCAGTTATATTTCTTAACAAATTGCAATAAAATTAGTTAATTAAAAAATAAGTTAAAAATTTTAAATTCTAATTATGTGAATTTTTTTCCTGTAATTACCATAAGAAAATGAGTGATATTCATAATCGGTAATAATTATTTTGTTCAAAATATATACCATGGCAGTTTTTGTTTTTCTCTGAATAAATAGGTTAAAAGCCGAAAGTAATGAAACTATTCTTTAAAAGGCTTAAAAGTTAAATTAGTTTTATGTAGTATTAATGTATGCGGTCAACTAGCAACACTTACTGTTGCCAAGGCCAGAAATATAAATAGCAACCCTCGTAGCTTAATTATTTATGAAATTAAGGATATTAATGCAGGAAGACTTACTCTGAGACTATTAAGAAAAAAATAAATTTTGAAAAATTCAATTACGTTTGAAAAAATCCAATTTAAACCCTGAAAAAAAACTGAAAATTTAGTGGAAGGGTTTTTTTTTCTTAAAAAACACAGGTTTTTTGCAACCTTGTTCTTTGCACCATTTTTATAATCAAAATACAAGACCCTGATTAACAATGGAAAAAGCTTAACTTAACTGTTATCAGTACTTAATACCAGCTTTGCTGCAGTTATAAAAATTGCTTATTATTGCCTAAAAAAGTCTTAATTCATGTGAAGGCAGAACTTTCAAAGAATAGTATTAAATCAGTTTTTAATTGTTTTAATTCTGATGTGTTAAAATTGTTTAACATTTATTTTAGTGCATGTTCTTTTTTTTTGTTGCCCTAATTATATTTTAAACCTATTTGGCTTAAGAATGGAGACATGTCATTCATATGTTCATACATGAAAATGTATCATTTCTTCATACAACACAAGTCATATTATTTACACTAACCATTTATAATATGAAATTCATTTTGATTATTTATTATGTATATTCATTTACAGTACATCTAGATACATACTTTGTGATGAAATTATTTCTGAAATTGCTAAAATGATTATTATTAAAAGCAGTGTTATTTTTTGTTAGCTGTAATAATACCAAGAGTTAAATTAGGTTCCTTTAACTTCCTACTTGACTATTAGTGTAGGGATAAAAAATATCCTTAATTAATTAAACTTTATGCATATAAATTTTAACTGTGCAAGCCTTATTCTCTTTCTTTCCCTGCACATTAAAATATTAAAATTCATAACTTGATTCAGTAATTTCAAACTTTATTTGCTCAGAAAGATTTCGTTTCTACATAATGTATGCAAACTTATGGTTGAGAAAATGAAACTCTTAATAATAAGCAAGCAAAGCTATAGCAAAATTATAAATAGCCATTTTAATACTATTTTTATGAGTGAAATATAAAACTTGCAAAATAAAATAGAATAAGAGGTTTTGAAAAATAAAATAGAATAAGAGGTTGAAAATTCAAAATTTTAAGGAAAGTTTGTTTTTACTTTTTCCGCCTGCTCAAAATTAAATTATGCCACAGCAAATCAATCTATTTTATTCTCTTGATTTGTTATGATACTTACAGTATTGCCAGTTTTTTTATTGCTATTACGTGTGTATTCAGTGTCATTATTATTTTTTATCCTTTAAAAGCATTTAATTATAAAATCTTAATCTTAAAAAATTTTGGTGCTAGAAATGTATTGTTAGTTACCAATTTAAGGGAAAAGGTGTTGTATGTGTCAAAACTGTCGGAACTATTAGTGTACTATTTAAGATTTATTTTCTTTATTGCTAAAAGTATGTTCTATCATAAAAAATAATATTGCATGCTTTACAATTTATATATTTAACATAATTAATTATGTATTAATGTTATTTGTACTATTCCTTTTCAAACATGAAATATTCTTTCAGGGTGAATGTGCTGAGCTTATAGCTCGAAAATTTGACTTTTCCCGTAAAGATCAAGACAATTATGCTATTGAAAGTTATAAACGAACAATTAAAGCAGATGAAGTATGATTATTGTTAAAGATTTGTTGTAACAATCTTTTTAAATTTAATCAGTTTCTAAAAAAAAGTGAATTGTTCATATGTATTTAATATTTTATGTATGAGCTCATGTTTGTTGTATGTTATTTTTAGTTATAATAGTAAGTTAGGCATAATATTGAAGCTGTGCTGCATGTGTGTAGCAGTCACCTTTACTCGATTTTATCACCTTCTTCTGATATCTTCAAAAATTCTTGTTTGCTTACATTTTAGAAAGTTTCCAAAAATTGTAAAAGTGCTTGAAAAATACCTTTTAGGAATTAAGAAAGCTTTTTTACTCAGCGTATTGTTTCCTTGAGAATTAAAATGCATAATACAAATAAATAACGAAGCCTGTTTAATTTTCGAATTAAGTTGAAACTTTTTATTTGAATTTAATATTTTTTACTAAAAGTTTGCTGCTTTTAAACCAATTAAATCTTTATTATTATTATTCTTTGCCTATAACTTATTAAAAATTATTTACCTTTGAGAAAAATAAGTTATCTCCACTACTATCTATGTTTAATATTATTTATAATTGCTATAAGTGTAGTAAAAAAAAATCATTTTCAAGTCTATTTATTGTTAATATCTTGTTATGACTACACATATTTCACTCTAAGGTACTTAAGTAACACTTTCATTGATTTTATTGCTCATCATATTTCCTGGAAACTAATATTAAACCTTTAAGGGGAATTTAATTTTGTATTAAATCAATTCCAATTTATTTATTTATTTTTTAATAATTTTTTTAAAGAAAGTGGATTAGGTGTAAGGAAAATTTCATTAAAATTTGGTGTAGGGAAAAAATCTCAAAATACATGGTTAGAGATTCAATAAAATTTATGCTTAGGAATTTATTTTGATTGGGTTTGTTTTACATGATATTACTCATGGGCTGCAATAGTGGCACAACTCAAAAAACACGTGTTTTGGACTAAGAACAGGTGTAAATATGAAAATACACATTCTTTTCAGCCAATAGTACAACTCATAATTCAACTTGAAGGTAATATTCGTTTAATCAAACTAGAGCATTTTTTATGCATTTTCCTTAGCAATGAAAACTTTAAACCCACTTATCTCAAAACATGATTTTTTGAGTTGTGCTGCTATTGCAACCCATGAGCGATATAGTTAATTAAAATCTTAAAACTTATGGTTTTATTTCCAATAAAATAATATTTTCTTAGCATGTAATTGTAAATTGCAATTTTAAGGTATAATAAAAAATTTTATAAGTGTGATATAAAAATTTAATTAATCCACATATTATGAGATTAAAATCAGTTATATTTCTTAACAAATTGCAATAAAATTAGTTAATTAAAAAATAAGTTAAAAATTTTAAATTCTAATTATGTGAATTTTTTTCCTGTAATTACCATAAGAAAATGAGTGATATTCATAATCGGTAATAATTATTTTGTTCAAAATATATACCATGGCAGTTTTTGTTTTTCTCTGAATAAATAGGTTAAAAGCCGAAAGTAATGAAACTATTCTTTAAAAGGCTTAAAAGTTAAATTAGTTTTATGTAGTATTAATGTATGCATATAAAAAGTGAATCATGCAAACTTATGGGAATAGTCTTAAAATATTATAAAATAAAAAAAAAAATTTTATTGATTTTTTATAATTTTTTCCTAGCTAGGTGTGCTAAAAAGGGAAATAGTGCCGGTCACTATTCCAGGAAAAAGAGGTGCAGCTAGTACAGTAGTGGAAGAAGATGAGGAACATAAACGAGTTGATTTTGGAAAACTTCCAACAATTAGGCCTGTTTTTTCGAAAGATGGTAAAATATTTTTTTTTGTCTACAGTTTAACCTTTAATAAATTTTGATCCAACAATTAGATTTCCACATACGAAAATTAAATCTTTATATTTTGAGTTATAAAATCAGACACCAAAACGTACTTTTCTCTGAATAATGAAACCTTCTTTTCACTGTATTATGATTCCTGACCTCTAAGATATAAGGGGTAACTGCAATCTGGGATATATGGTTCTAATAGTTTGATCTCGGGAGTGATCGAAAGTTTGATCCAGTCCTAATAAAAATCCAATAATTAGATCAAGAGTTATTAGTTTTTAATTGATATTTTGTTTCATTCTCTTCTGGATAAATACAATTGTTAATATCTTTTCTCCCTAATCTTCACTTGAGGGTGGAAATCAATTATATTTTTAGAGGTTCTCTCTATTTCCGCTTAAGCTTAAATCATTTACATGAAATATTTTTAACAAAATAGTCATTATTTATTCTCTACCAGCAATGCATTTTGAGTGACGAAGGCCAAGAAAATATCTTTGCACCAATTTATAGCCAAATAAGTGATTCCTTACTCATCTTGTTGAAGTGATTCATAATGTATGACTTGCCACTAACTTTTATGATGTTATAGCAGAAGGATGTGCACAGTTTGGGGGAGCACATTACTTGTAAACTGCACATTCCTTTCTGCTTTAAAAATTCAACACTGTATTGATAAAATAATTATTTTGTCATATAACCATCAAATAACAATAAAACCCATTTTATTAAATCTGGAATTCTTGATTTAGGTATAAAAATAGGATTTCAAATATATAGTGACTTTCTTGTCTTTTTGATTATTTCCTGACTTAGATACAAATGCAATTTTAGTATAATATGAACAACTCCTTAAAAAAAGAAAGTGTCTTAAAATGTGACGTACATTGAAGAAAATTATTTTATGACTTTTATATAAGTGTAGTTCTAGTATAATAATATGGACAACTCTTTAAAACAAAAAATTCATCAAAACTGTGAGGTACAGAGGGTGAACAAAATAATGGAAACACCTCTATACTAATACATTTTTTCATATTTCTCAAGAAATAATTGATGAATCATTTTATAACTTCTGAAGTGTTTTGATCATGCGAACTCTCATACTTCTCATTGAAGTTCAAAGTTTTTAGAAATTTGAGGGGCCAACAATAAATTACAAAGGGAAAATAGTGTTTTAATAAACACTCTATGCCAAAAAATGTTGGAATAAATTTGTAACTTGTAACAATTATTTTGGTTATTACATGCAATAATTGCACAAAATTTAAGGTTAGGTTACTATAAATATATTACAGCCCTTGAAAATCCAATTTTTTTCCTTGGCCTTCATTCAAAAGCATTTATGCACCCCCTAATGAGGTTTTTAAAAGTAATATTTTTAAAAACTTAAATTTTACCTATGTCCTTCAAATCAAATAAATGCTTGACCTCTCCAAATAGGCTCAACCAATAGGTTCAATAATTTTATATACAGATTGCCTTTAACTAACTCATTAATGAAATCTAACTAGGAGGTGTTTTAAAACTTTTTAATTACTTTAGTCAAAAAATTAAAATGATATTGCTTAAAAAGAACAAACTTTAAAATTGATTAAACAGTTTTGTTTTATTTCAGGTACCATTACAGCTGCCAATGCAAGCTCTTTAAGTGATGGGGCAAGTGCTTGTGTAATGACTTCAAGGGCTAAAGCAGAGTCTTTAAATGCAAAGCCTATTGCAAGAATTATTGGTAAGCTACAGTAAAATTTGTCTTTGCTGTAAGTTCTAGTAAATTAAATTAACAAGAATTTTTTGTGAATTTGAAACATGGTAATAAATGTTCTAATTCATAAAAAAATATGGACCTTTTACTGAAGACAGTTGCTTCTTGACGAAAGTTATTTAAAAATTGTGATTTTGAACTCTTATTTAATTGTACCTTTTCTATTCTGACCATTACCTACTCAAATGAAGGGTCATATGAATTTGAAGCAATATTAAAAAATTTATTAACAACACTTAAATGTTTTTGATTGCAGGTCTGTAAATAAATCCAAAAATTGTTGAAGAAAAATCTATTATTCTTTATTTAATAATCTTCAACATAAGTTTTTTTTTCAAAATTTCTTATTTAGACTATAAAAATACTTTATATGAATTGAACTTTTAGCTGTAGTTTTGAAAATTCAAGTAAATTCATAAATAGAATATTTTTTTATTCTGATTTTATGTTATGAATTTTTTTTATTTAATATTTCGTTAAATTTCTATTCTAGCCTTTGCTGATGCTGCTGTTGACCCCCAAGATTTTCCGATAGCTCCTGCATATGCCATCCCAAAAGTAAGTTGAAAAGTATGATACTGACAAGGAATTTATATTTTTAGTTCAGAAATTTATCCAACTGTCATGAACTTTTAATTTTATATGTTTTAATATATGTGTACATACTTTCTCTATACCCACTATTACCAAATGTTACTACCTACTAGTGGACCACTCAAGCTTTCATTGTACAGATACTTCGAATGGGAAATTTATAAAGTTCAAATTCACATCATTAATCAAAATGCCCTCAACATAATAAATATTATTTTTAACATAATAAATAAATTTTGATTAAATATTTGATAAAATTCTCTTGCCAGTGGCAAAAGTTGACTAGTCTGTTATCCTAAATATGTAAAAAATTTAGTTTTTTTTAGCATTAAATATTGCTTGTTGCCGCTTTTATGTACACTTAAATTTAGGATACTCTTAAAATTCCCCACTACTAAACTAAATCTTTACAGGGATGCCGCAGAACAGGGAAATCGGGAGAGCAGGGAATTTTATCAATCTAGAAAAATTAGTGAATTAAATCAAAATTCCTAATAAGTCAGGGAAAATGAACTAATTTGAGGTATACACCAAAATTTGTCTTGTATTAATTATTTAAAAAAAAATATTTATTTCCAATTCTAATTGCAATTATAAGTGTTTTGTAATCTATTTTATGTTTAAAAATAATGCATGATTGAAAAATTAATAATAAAATTTCACACTCAAATCGGGGAAATTTAGATAAAATCAAACAGGGAATTTTGTTTTTCCTGTGGCGACCTTTATAATGCAAAGAATTTATTTCATTCTTAAAAACTCATGTGTATTATTTTTATGAATATCGTAGGTACTTAGAATGGCAAACGTTGAAAAGAACGATATTGATTGCTGGGAAATCAATGAAGCTTTTAGTATAGCTGGTCTGGCTAACATCAAGATGTTGAATTTAAATCCTGAGAAGGTTAATATTTATGGTGGTGCTGTTAGTTTAGGACATCCTCTTGGGTAAGATTTTGGTTTATTTATTTTTCATCTGTATATTAATGGTATTGAGATGTGGTTCCCAAATGGTGTTCCGCAGAACCCTGGCACTTCGTGGAAGGGTCACAGGCGTCCCGAGATTTTAAATGTTTTTAATCAGTAATGACTAGAGCCCGGATCTTGACGACCTAAAAAATCTCAATTAATGTCCTTAAAAAGTGCGAAAAATGCCTTATGACATGACTAAAATAAAGTAAAAATATTGAACTAAAACAATGTTTTACTCATTAAAATTATTATGAGTCATTTCAAAAAATATAAAGCAAAGCAATACTTGTTCATTAAAGTTTGAAAAATATGTTTTATATCCTAAAATAACAAAAAAAGGAAAATATATTGACTCCAAAACATTTTCATTTTGTAAAAAAACTTTAATAAATAGAACAACTTCCATCTCATAATATTACTAAATATCAGAATTACGTTGGATTATAAAATTTTCTTTGATATTTTGAAATGTCAACGAGCGTTTCTTGTCTGAAAGTCAATTTTTATTATACCTGGAGATGCTTCTTTCAACGTCTACTGATGTTATTGGTGTGTACTTGAAAAAGACGGTCTCACTTACTGACAATTATTCTTCAATTTGAAAAGATGTTGCTTCACCTGTTAATATCCTAGAGATTTTCTTCATTGTTTGGAAGCCAGTGTAATAATAAAAAATTATAATAAAATAAAAATTGGAAATAATTAACAAAAAATTAAAAAAATGCTTTAAAATGCAAAATACGCCGAGAAATTTAAAGAAAAATGCCCTATAAATCTAAAAAAATGCTCTAAAGGACAAAGAATGTCTAAAAATGCAAAAGTCATCAAAATCCAGGCCTTAGTAATGACTTTTGTAACTTGTAATTATATTTATATCAAAGCAATAAACCATAATTTCTTTAATAGTTTGGTTATTTTAATGAAATTATTTAAGTAAAAAAAGAAAGAGCATAATTTATAAAAAATTGCATCAGTATTTCTTGTATGACTTTTAAGTTCAAAATCTAATGGCCAAATTCAAGAATAACGAATTATGTTTCTCTGATAACTGTCCTCAACAATTATATGAGTTCTTTTTCAAAAACTATAATTAAGCTTATATTCAGCTTATTTTAACTTATGTATGCTCCAAAAACAAATTCAGAGCTTGGATAGATACCACTTCAGGCCTGCAAATTCAATTGATTAACTTGAAACCTATTATTTTGACGTTTTATTGATAAAACGATTATATAAAATTTTTGGTTTAATTAAATATCAAAATAATTACTAGTCATTCTTTGGTTAATACGTTTAAGGCTGCTAATAAATTTTATTTATATATTTGGGGTTAAAGAAAAAGATGCACGATTATTTAGAGTACTGTAGCCGTAAAAATTGAGAATCGCTGATATAGAGTAATCCACACATCATTAAAATTATAAGTTAAGTTTCTTACTAACTCCATCGCCTCTTCAGCTTTCTTCTCATTAGCCAACTCTTGAACTATTTATAATTAATGTGTCGTAGACGAGTTTTTTATTCTGTATGCGGATGTAATGCATGTTTAAGAAAATGAATGTAGCTCGAAATGGGTTTTTAAGAAAATGGACACAGCTTAAAATACATGTTTAAGAAAACAGTCACAGCAATTAAGGCACCTATTCTATGTTTAACAACTAAATTTAAATAGTGATGAGTTAAATGACCTCAATCTGAATCACATTACATTCTATTTTAGCTCTTTATTCATAATGACTATGGAACGAATACAGTAAAATACTTTCCAAAAGTTTGTTAACTTTTATTAATACACTTTTAATTTAAATGGGTATGAAGTCCTGCTATCGCAATTTCAGGTCTATGGCTATTTTCACCCAGCCTTCTATCTACATTAACTAAAAAATTCATAATTACTTCTTTTGATAAAAACATGGTTTATTATTTCAGTATGTCTGGAGCTCGAATTGTTGGTCGTCTCATAGAGTGCCTTTCTCCAAATCAAAAAGGAATAGCTGCTGTTTGTAATGGTGGTGGGGGTGCTTCAGCTTTGTTATTGGAAAAGCTTTAGTGTTTGCTGTTATCAATGTTTTTAATGACCTTTTGCAATATATAGTGCATTATTTGAAATATCATTTAGATTTTGTTAATTTAAAATCAGTATTTGTTTTATTATAAAATCATATTTCAATGTAGATATTATGCTCTATCTATATTTTTAAAATATTTATTACCATACCAGTGCATTATTTAAAATGTTACTTAGTGTTTTTGTTCCCGTTTAAAATCAATATATTTTTATAATAAAATCATTTTTTGTTAAAGTCTTGTATTTTTATTTATGGCAAGCAACATACCATCATACATTTTTTCATGAAGTACAATCCATACCAGTTTCCTGTAGCAAATAAAAAAATAATTTTCACATAAAAATCATAAATTTTTGAAAACCCAGGTAAGGAAGGACTCTTGAAATTTTACGTATGCAATCAATTTCACTGGGATAAAATGCAAATTATAATAAATACTTGGTAGCCACAAAAGCTTAAAAGAAAATCTAACTTTTCGAAGACAAAATGTGTAATCTGATATTTTATGCGCACCTGGAAAGTCATGATTTGTACTATTTTTTAAAATGGAATCCCCCCCCCCNGAAACCCCCCCCCCCCCATCCTGTTCAAAATATTTGAATTCCTAACAAATCACCACTCAATCATATTTTATTGGAATATAAAATGATTTTATCAAGTTCTTTAAAAAAAATTAAAGAAAAAACGTCATTTCTAGAGCGAATTATATTTTAAACTTCTGTGATTTAAGAATTTTTATTATTTATTTTTAATCTTATCAATTTAAAATTCTATTTGAAGCAAACCAGTAATTGGCGAATTTTTTTTCATTCCGAAATGAGAACAGAAAAAACAGGACTATTTCTTTCCTTTCTGATGAACAAGAAAAGTTTCTTTAGAATATAATTCTGTAGAAAAAAAATTTGCTTTTGTATTTTTCAGCTATTTTATTGTTTCAACTCTTTCTTTACTCTGTTTTTAAAATCTATAAATATGAAGATGCAGAATATAACAGTTTTGGTTATACCTATCATTTCAATTAATGTTATTATAATTCTTTTTAAAATTTATTGTTGCATTTTTGTCAGAGAAAATAGTAACTTCGTTTAGTCGTGGAAAATCATGAATTAGAAATATAGCAGATACCCTGTAAATAAGAGCAAGCATTTTGTTACGCAAATTTTTATACAAGCCAATTATGATCAAATAATGACTGTAGTTATAAATCTTTGCTAAGTTAATAGGCAATATATAAATTGAATAAAATTTAAAGAATGAGGGGGGAAAATTTTAAATTTATCAAAAAGTTTTATTTAACATTTACATTTGAATATTACAATGGGTATGAAATTAACAACACAAAGAATGCCTTGAAGAAATGATTAAAATGAGAATCTTATTTATGAAGCTGTTGGTTCTAAATCTGTAGCAAGAGTTTCAGGTTCTTCATCATTGTATATGTTTTCAGCCTGTGAAGAGAAAGATTAATAAAAAACAAAAGTGGCCAAATAAGGTCAAAATGAGCAAGATAATACTATGGGAAAATAAAGCTTTCAATCATGGTTTATAAAAGTTTTTGATATGTTTTACAGTAAATTGTCTCTCCAAGTTGACTTATCTGAATTCAGTTCAATAAACGTTTGAGTGCGTAGAAGCGCTATCTCGCTTCGCTAGTTATGTGCCAAAAATGCAGAGAAGCGCAACAGCGCTTCTCTTATTTTGTACCGAAAATGTAATGAGTGAGAATAAAAAGATATTTTTGTTGGTAAAAATTATTTGTTACATAATAATTAGTGTTAATTATAACCATTTCTATTCTCCAAAAAATTGCTGCACATTTCATTCCGCACTATTAGTATATATATAAGAAAACTCTTCAGCACTCAAACGGTTAAGTTCTAAACTTGGTAAGTCTAATTCCCTAGTTTCAAAACTGATGTTCAGCAGGACTAGTTTCTTACGATGTAGAAGTGTTTCAAATCTAAAATATTTTTTGCCTTTTTATGTTAATTAAGTAGGAAATTTGGTTAAATTTTCTAAATATTTTGTAATCAAATCTAATATGCTAAGTTCATACATGCTTTCTTTAATGATGGTAAAAAAATGGGCTTTCATATAAAAAGTAAAAAATAGTATTTTTTAAATGCTACATGATTTAAAAAAAAAAACAAAGTTATCTATTATTCTTACCATTTGCCAAACTTGCATGATGTTATCTTCAGAAACGGAGCAAATAACCCAAGGTTCATTAGGATTCCATGAAAAATCAGATATTTTTGCAGTGTGTCCTCCGTGTATGAACTGAAAAGGAGAAAAATTTCATTGCAACAATATAAACTTTAATTAATAACAATTCATTTGTTAAATCATTTTATTTGTTGCATTCAACTTAGAAAGAGCAATTGCTCATATTTTGTGAAAAATTAGTTGAATTTTGAATGAATGAACAATGAATTTTATTTTTATTTCTAAAAACTTTACAGATCTTTATTTAACATACTAATCTAAATTTACACAGCTAGGGAGAAGAAAAACAATTCTCTTAACCTTTTTTTTTAGTATATCATTGCTGAGAGGCCTAAAGGTAATTTCTAAACTCTTTTGAACCCTTCCCCGAACCATAGAATGTGCCAACAGGAAGTCATGTGTCGATTTTTATTGTTGAGGTTTTGTGCTACGTGGTTGTTTGTTTTGCAAAATTTACGACATGCGCATTGTCCAATGAAATGAAATTCGAAAAATATTTCTTGTTAAAGTTTAAATAATTGCATGTATAAAATTGAATCTATACTTTTTATATTGGTTTTCATGGGGGGGGGGGAATTATACTATCAGGGGATTTCCCCTCGCTTTCTTCGAGAATAGTCCGACAAAGAAAAAGATTAGGATTTGAGATTGATAGTGATTGCAATGAAGATAATTATATAAAAAGTGATACTTATTAATAACTATTTTTAAAAAAATTGCAATTTGGCAAAATCCCTATTATATTACATTCTTTAAAATTGTGTAAAAATTTCTGTACCTTTAAATTAAAAATTTTTTGACTATTTGATAAAAAATTATTAAAAGCCATTTTTATGAGGAATTATCTCCAGAAAACAAATTTTATAATTGTCTAAAAAATTTTCAATTCACTTAAAAAATTCCAGAGATATGACGAAATACGCAAAATTAGCTTTAAGGGGTCCAAACTTTAAATCTCTTTCCTGACCAAACCATAGGCACTAAACTATCTGTTGAAAAAAAAAATTTATAATTTAGAAAAAGTACGTTTTTGTGTCGGATTTCATAACAAAAATATCACCAAAACTGAAGTAATCATCGATTAAATAAATATTTTCTGTACCTCAAACAATTAAGATTAAGTCCTATTATGGGAAAATCTGATCATTAGGTCAAGTTTTTCAGTGTTATTTTTTGTGTGGACTATACATCAAAATATGCATGTGACACTTGAGTCTTTATCACAGGGTCAATATACATGCATACTTAGTTTTTCTGCAGACAATCGTAAAAGCAATATTACCAAAAGTTCAGGGGGTCCATCCTCAGCATCTTCTGGAGTTTGTTCTTCACCAATTTTACTCAGATCCCATACATGTAGCCTTCTATCAGTACCACTTGAAGCTAAGATTGTTTCATTATGAGGAGACCATTGCACTTGGAAAATTTCATCTTTATGCGACTCAAATGAATGCAATTTCAGCTTCAGATTTCGAAGATCCCATAATGCAACTGTCTAAAATGAGATTGTCACAATAGAGAATTAACTAATGTAAAAACATGCACACTCACAGTAAAATTTTAACTATTTGAAGCTTAAGTAAATTCAGAGAAAGCAACATTTTCAGATAAATAATATTCGTGTACATAACTGTCATTTTCCATGGCTCAAGTTTAACCATAGCAAACCATAATCATAGTAAGATAAAGTATCTGCAAGCTCATAATATTTTTGATTATTAAATATATAAAAACAGTTAACTTGTTAAAATTTTTGACAAATATATATACATGCATATTAACAAAAGTCATTAAAAAAAGACTAATATTATTAGTCATACTTAGAATTACATTCATATAAAGTAATTATCATATTAAGTAATATAAATAATTTCGCTCCAAATGAAAAGATTTCCCACTGTCACCGCAATAATTTATTTTCGTTGTAAAGCGATCGTCACATCGAGTTGAGTTGCAAAAAATCAGATGATTGTAGGCTCGACCGCGAACAATGTAATTGCTAATCTTTAGGCTCCAAATGAAAAGATTTCCCACTGTCACCGCAATAATTTATTTTCGTTGTAAAGCGATAGTCACATCGAGTTGAGTTGCAAAAAATCAGATGATTGTAGGCTCGACCGCAAACAATGTAATTGCTAATCTTTAGGCTTAAGTGGCAGTAGGATGCATACAACTAAACATCAACTTTCTTCTATCTTGCATAAATCATGATTACGTTATCTGCTTCGTATTCCCTCCCACTGGAAACTTTTTTCATGCAGATGCTTTTTTCTATATTACAATAAATATCAAAAAAGTATCTGCAAAATTGAAGAATCACTTCTAATGTACCAGCGCACGTCTATATTATCTATGACCACAATATTCATATATACTCCTCTTTCTTCATAGGTGCCTGATTAACTGACAAGACATATAAATAATCCAGCTAAGTAAATAAAACAACAGAACACACAATTAAACTATGCTGACGAGAAGGCAGCAACTTCCTTCTCATAAAATTATGATATTCAAGTAAGCTCCTTCCTTTCCATCTCCTCTTAGCATATGAAGGCAAAGAGCTATGTTTTGTTTCAAACAATCAGATGAAAATTATATACAACTTCCCACAGGCCCTCTATATTTCGCAGATCTCTGTGAATCAGCAGAAAAATCATATGCCCGATGATATTAAGAAGAAAAATGTTCTAATCAATGATTTAAGTATATAGATCAGAAAAGTTACCTTGTCAGCTGATCCAGTAGCTAGAATGAATTCACTATATGGATTGAAGGAAAGACAATTAACTTCAGCAGTATGAGCATCAACTGTGTGACTCGGCTTGCTTGTATTGTTGGAGCGTGTATCCCAACTAAAAATAAATTTTAAATTTAGAATGACTATGTTGAATTGGCACCAAATTCATCAAACAGTAACAAAAATAAATTTAACTGATTATTTCAATCTATAGATTATCGTACAAAATTAAATATGTCGATATCCAGCAATTTTGCTTTAAAAATTGAGTTAATTTTTAGTTTCATAACATTGAAGTTAGAAAAACATTTAGATTCTAATTACAATTTTAGACAGTAGTTTCCAAATAACAAGAGAAATAAAAATTGCAATGACAGACTAATAAACCAATATTGTATCTTAAGTGCAAGATAAAACTGCTACAAAAAGCTTTGTCGATAAATCAGCACTTTGCCAACAAATTACGCTCGAGTATAACCTAGCTATTTATTAACAGCTACAACTAACTATTGCCAATTGCAGAGATCTCCCTAACAGTTTACAAAACTGGGAAGTCACATAAATGGGTTGGCGAAGTGTTGAGTAACTATAAATTATACAAGATTAAGAACAGTATTTTTAAATTATAATAACTTTAATCGACTAGAAGTCGAACTTCGAAAACTAATTTTGTAAATTCAATGAAAAATTACATCAAATTAGCTAGTTCTTTTAACTTTTTGAAAACAAAATATAAATAGGTAATAAAATTAAGCATGCGCAATCTTTGATGTAACATGGTGACTTTGCAATACTGACAGAAGTTGGGAATCTTCAACTAATGTTTAGTTATAGAGTAAATTGCTTGATAAAAAATAAACAAAAATTTATAGGCAAAAAAAAAAAACTTGTGATATATACTGAAACACTAAAATTATTTGTAACTTATTAATTCTTATAAAACATTTGATTAATAATGAGTAAATAATTTTCTTACAAGATTTTTATTAAATCAGGAGTGATTTTTATTAAATCAGGAGTGATTTTCATTATCAAAATTGATTTTTCAAATGTAATTGTCACTTTTTTGTTGATCATAAAAAATTAATTTGCTGAATTGATTAAGTACAATTTTAAATATAGAACTAAAAATATGCATGTACTAATATACAGTTATTATGATCTATGTTACTAAAACAAATATATAAATTGATATTTCTAGTTACCTAGAGGCAATAAGAGTAAATGACTTCATAATGGGAGAAAACTAAAAATAGTTGTTAAATGAGAATTTTGTATTGTGATAAATTGCTGACAAAACGTAGTGTCAATTACATTATAAACTTTTTTTTTATTCAGAATAAATACACGGAAAAATTAATCCAATGACTAAGTACTTGCAAATAAATACTTTGAATTATAATTAGATACAAACATTACATAACTTACATCATCAATTTTTGATCATCAGCAACAGATCCAAATAAACTCTCATGTAACAAATGCCAGGCTACATCCTAAGGGCAATTAGAAAAATAGTTATAATAAAAACATAGAAAACAATACATTACAAATCCTATTACAGTAGTTGATTACCTATTAGTGTAACATGAGTGAGATATAACCAAATCCAGCAATTGAACCCTAACTAGTAAAACACGGGAAATAATCTTAGCCTGATAGTGCGGGGTGCATATAAATATAATCTAGACTTATACATAAAGAGTGGACGTAAGCAATACACACATTAATAAATATTGCATTTTAAATTGAATTTAAAATATCTTTCTGAATTCGTTGATAAACCATATGCTAAAAATAAAAGTGCACAGATTAAATGAAAAATAGAGGTTTTTGTTATTATATAAGAATTTATAATCTGAAAAATTGAAATGTATTTCTCTCTTATTTAGAAATCTTGAAGCTTACAATAAACAGCTGCTCACCACACAAACTAAAAGTCTTAATATCCATAAAAGTTAAATTGCTAATGATTTCTACTTTAGTGAATAAAGAAATGTATAAGGATTTTAATGGCAAAGCAACTTTATGTCAAATCAAACATTAGGTAGAGAAGAGAATTTAATGACAAAAGTTTAAATAAATAAAAACAAGTCAAATTTTAAAAGATTTATAACTTAAGTATATGCTTCACAGTTTAAAAGTTAGTAACAAAATTATAAAAACATCACTAAACACAACATAAAAATCAGATAATTAATAAATACTTTAAATATTTGGCTAATTAACTGAAATAAGCTCAGCATAATATGAAACTTAATTTAGCATTTTTTTTAAATATATACAGTGAAACCTCACGTTATGTACACTCCTACAAAATGAACGCCTCTCACTACAGAAGTATTTTTAATTTCCTGTGTATCTTTTATGATTAAACCATTATGCACCTTCTCACCAATTAGGACACTCATTTATTACCCAAAAATCTAGCATTAATCTGTTCAAACCGGACACCAATTTTTCAAAATTTGAAGAAAAATAAATAAATAATTTGCTTTTAATTCAAAGTATGCAATGATTCACCAATTTTAAAGAATGTACATTTTTTGCATTATCCATAACTAAAAATATTAATCAATTTCACTACTAAAGAATCAATCTTTCTTCTGTCACCATCCTTTCTTTACATTTGCAAAGAAAGAGAAAATATAATGCAAGTGAAATATGTTGGGTAGCAGTATCTTTTTATCTAGACAACACACAAAAAGAAACTCCACAAGCTGAAATGACGCATTAAATTCCTCTTCTCCCCTGAAAATTTCTTTCTTTCAATTACACTCCTGTATTTAACACAGCTAGGTCTAATAAAAAAAGAAAAAAATCTAGTCATTGAGGTGTTCATATAAATCAGATTTATTCAGACACTTGACAGATGATTGAAAGTGAATATTACAGCTCCTTATAGGACCTAGTGCAGTGTTTCCCAACGTGGGGTCCAGGCCCCACAGGGGGCAATTTGATTGTTAAGGGGGGCAATTCAAAAATGTACTCGACACGAGTTTAACCCTTTTGCTCCGGGCCATTGAAGTGCAATGCTAGATTTCGGTGCCAAAATTGAAAGAAAAAATCAAATTCTTAAATAATTGCAGCCAATAAATATTATAAATTCTTTTGACGAGACCAGAATATCAACTNGAAGAGAATTTAATGATAAAAGTTTAAATAAATAAAAATAAGTAAAATTTTAAAAGATTTATAACTTAAGTATATGCTTCACAGTTTAAAAGTTAGTAACAAAATTATAAAAACATCACTAAACACAACATAAAAATCAGATAATTAATAATATTTAAATATTTGGCTAATTAACTGAAATAAGCTCAGCATAATATGAAACTTAATTCAACATCATCCAGTGAAGCCTCACGTTACGGACACTCCTCTAAAAAGGACACCTTTCACAACAGAAATATTTTTAATTCCCCATGAATCTTTTATGTTTAAAGCATTATGTACCTTCTGATCTATGCGGACACTCATTTATGACCCAAAAATCTAGTATTAATCTGTTCAAACCGGACACCAATTTTTCAAAATAGCAGTATCTTTTTATCTAGACAACATAAAAACTATTTTTTTAAAGTCAAATTAAACATCAATGTAAATAGCAATTACAGATTAATTATTTCTATATCAGTGCAATTATTCCAAAAACAATTCATGGGGTTAAGCTTTGTAATTAGGGCATTCTTCCTGTAAATGGACAACTCTGGAAGGGGGACAATATTTTTGGTCCCAGGCATGTCCGTATATCCGAGATTTCACTGTAAATTCATAAAAAAATATATGAAAAAAGAATCTACAAACATTTTACATTTCAGAAAGTGATCAATTATAATTTACCTCTACAACTGCAGTATGACCAGTGAATATTGTTTTGGCATCAACTACTTTATTATCTCTTGGAGTAGCATTGATATCCCATAAACATATTGTCTAAAAATAATTCAAGAAAACCTATGTCAGTCATTACATGCATTCAACAATAAAACAAATTAAAAGTCATGTGTCTATAAAATGTCAAAATGCAATATTTACAAACTTTACAACAAAAAAGTGACCCGTAAAGCTGTTATAATTTTCCATTCCCTGATGTTTTTTTTAAAATAGCAATCAAGAAAGTTTTAATATTACTATGATGATTTCACATCAGCAACAGCATTTACTTAGCAAGCAGACCTGCGGAATCAGTAGCCCAACTTTTCTAAGAGCTCGACAAAGATTTATACTATAGTAAAATTTTCACCAAATTGAGTAATATTTAAAAAGATTAATATGCATTATTTTAAACCAAATATTAATTTCAAATCATGTCAACTTTTTATGTATGGTTCAGAAAATAACATTATAGCAGTTAAAAATAAATTTATAGGACAGCTAAGTTTTAAAATTCTTTATGTGATTTTAATAATTAAGTAGATAATATCAGAGAAGTCCCTAAACAAACAAGAAGCAAATTCGTGTGTCACTTCTATGCAATAAAATCATATTTTTCTCCTTATATTAGGAGTTTTACAGATGAAAAAAAATTCAGTTATTGGTCAGCTGCTCATTTAAATTTGTCTCAGCTTCATGTATTGTTGCAACTCTTTGATCCAATTTGTCAAAATGTTCTTTTTTTAGCCTATACACTATTTCGCTATCTAAAACACATTAACAAAAAAAAAAAATTAAATTTTCTGTGAACAGGACTGCCGAATATCCTAATTTCATATTTAAAGGGGTGATTGTCAGCCGAACTCAAAAATCCTGAAACTTTAAGAAAATCATGAATGACGCGTTAAAAAAAATTTGTGTCTTTTTTAAATTTAAATCATTGATATTTTCTAATAATGAAACTTTTATGAAATTATTTGCAGCATATTTTAAATGAATAATTATTTATAAGTTTACTTTTATCTCTAATCACATTAATTGCTCTACCAGATAAAAATATTTACAAATGAAAGAGATGCCAAGTATAAATTCTAGGTCTAATATTTTTAAATAAAATATACAAGAATTTCTATACATAAATGTAATTGATGATTTCTTGAAACTTCTGGACCTTGGATTTCTGGAGCACAATACCAGCCAAAAACTATTTTCCTTGTTGGATAAAAAATGAGTAAGTTGGTTTTGAAGCCGAATATTTTATAATAGAAAAATGAATGAAAAAAACTATTAATCATAGTGCCAAAGTTATCACTAAGAATAACATTACATTGGAAGAATTTCACACCACAGTAAGAGAAGAGATATTTTCTATAACCCATCTACACACATATCCACAAGATAATAAAAATATATAATCTGTTTCATTTTAACAGTTTTGTATAACAAGTATGCATTGTAAAATATTGACAAAAATATAATATGATACATACATGATCATCAGATGCACTAAGCAAATGTCCATTCAAATTAGGATTCCATGAGAGTCCATAGCTAAATTAGAACAAAATGAATAAAATATGAAATAATATCTATTGATAAATAAGCAAGCAAAAGAAAAGAATACATTCTACATTTAGCCTTATAAGAAATTTAACCTTTCAACAACATTTTAAATTGTTTTAAAATAATTATTAATTGAAAATTCAAGTACATAAACAGGTAATTAATTTCTTAAAGAAGCAATGTTTGCCATAAACTTAAGTTTGTTCTTAAAGAAATAAGGGGTACAAATAAAACAGAATAAAAAATAGGTTTTAAGTAAGAAACTCTTATTATTCCTTATTTGGATTTAAAAAGAAAAAAAAAAATATCAAATTTTGAGAAATATATATAAGATTTGTTTACTTAATTTATAAAATTTTTACTTTCAATACAACAGGGCTTAATCCAGGTCAATTTTAGTACAATCCGCAAAAAAAAAAAAAGATATCACCCTGAATAACTTTCGTTCTAATGATCGGATTTTCACGAACTAAGTGTTAATCTTAATGGTTCCTGGGGGTGACCTCAAATATGCTAATTAATTAGTGCTAACTATTAATTAAGTTACGAAATCAGACACAAAAACGTACTTTCTCTGAATAAACATNACAGATTTAACACGCACCAGTCACAGTAGACTACATGAGGAGACGTATGCTGGCTGGATTGGAACTCGGCGCCTGCCAACCAGGCTATCCCGGCGCATATGTTAAAATTTCAGATCTTAGTGAATTTAAAATTTTTGAAAGCAGGACATAATGTGTATATGGTTTATTTTTAAAGAACAACATAGCAAAATGAAATCAAAAGGTACCATGATTGAAATAAAAAAAAAAGGATCGAAGAACAAAAAGTTTAAAAATAAGCTCTCACCCCTCTTTCTGATGGCCACGTAAACGAAGATCTGGACTACAATCTCCACTAGGGTCTGTAAAATAAGAACATAAATATTAGATAAAAATTAATAATTGAATAAAATTTTAATCATTTAACAAAAGAAATAAAAAAAATAAGACTTCAGTCATTTTGTTTCAAGTTTAATGAAATAATTAAGGAAGAGTTATAAATAAGGGGAAAAAAATTTTCTTATAGGTAAGCCTTCCACTCTTCTTTTAACCCCTTAACGGTTGGTTAATTTTCAAAAAACGATCATAAAAGTGCCTATTTTTTTATTACACGTATTTGATTAGTGCTGACATCTATAAAATAAACTATCCACAATTACCTTAAAAATATCCTGGTACTGCCACCTGGTGTGTAAAATTAGAAATAAAATGTTTTCCAGGCAAAAGAAATGAATTAGTTTTATTCTTATTGGTGTGTTACTACCGAACACTCTAGCCCGGAAATATCACAGAAGCGGGAAATAGAGGGCGAAACCTCACCCGTCATTTTCAAGGGAGCGAGAAGGAAGGTAACCGACTTTTTACAAGAGAAAACAGAAACATTTAGTTATAACTAGATTTTTTCATAAATACTTTCAAACGATTCAGAGCTATATTAAAAATATACTTGGTAGCTTGATTACTCTTTTAAGATATATGACCCATAAATGTTACGCATTTATTACATGTTCAAGATTGATACTTTTTATGAGATTGATATTTTCCCATTTTCCACAGTATCATTTAAAATTATAGTAGATGCTTCATAGTACAAGATAGTATAAAATTTATAGAGGTAGGTACTTAATTAAGTCACTTATTTAAGTCACACTAGAACAACACAATAGGCTATTGGCGGCGGTCTGGGAAACATCCCCCGAGGATGATCTGAAGACATGCCGTCACAATTTTGATCGGCTGCAGAGGTAATGGGATGGCTTCCCTGCTTTGCTAGTTTGATGACCGGTGCACAAAGTCTAGCACTTCACGGTAGAACAGTTTAAATAGGACCTAAAAGGGTGGTGTATTTTTACCCATCTGACCCGATCAGGTCCTACCCAACCAACCATAGTTCATATATTAAATTCTGATAAGTAGAACTAACCTGGTTTAGACGGGTGTTTGGTGTAATCAAAAATCAGAACATCACTGGATGGTGTTTTAGTAGCAATGATGCAAGGATTCTGTGGCATAAATCTTGCCCGGTTAACTTCACCTTCATGATTTATTTTGATTTCAATTTCTATTTTACCACTAACAGATCCAAAACCACCAAATTCTAGAAGAAAGCAAATAAATAATATAAATACACAGATTTTTGCACTATCAGTCCAGTTACAAAAACAGAGAGACATATTTTGCAAAACAAACCTCCTTTTTCACTATCATAATGAGAAGCATCAAACTGGGCATCTTCACTTGGAAGTTGAACACTAGCAATCAGCAGGTGATTCTGTTCATCCGATCTAATTGAAATAATTCAATAAAATTAATAGATAATTTTGTTCTTAATATTTAAAAAATTTCTTTGTTACAACTATATATTCTGCACTATATTGTATTCTGTAAACACTAACAGAAAATAAAAAAATTAACAAATAATATCTGATTGGGCTTTAATTCAATTTAAAAGGTGCAACTAAAAATACAATTGGTATAGTGCTAAATAGAGCTGTAACAGACAGTGCAATTAAGACACTGAAATTTTTTTTTTTTAAGCTGTGGAGTTTTATCCACAATGATAGGCAGAAAAACCAAACTTTATTGTTTCGAGTATAATAATTACCTAATAAATTATTAAAAAATTAAATTATACTAAATTAAAAAATAATTACCTAATTATTAAAAAATAATTACCTAATAAATAATTAGTTGAATTATTACCTAATAAATTATTTTTAATTTTTTACTAATAATTAATTTTCTGGCATCATATAATGCATGTTTTACTGCATCTATAATTTTCAATTAAGCAAAAAAATTTACCTAGTGCAATATACTTACGTATGAGTTCCAAGAATTAATCTGTGAATTGAGTAATCTTTACCTTCAGGTCTGAAAACAAAATTATTTTTTACTAACAGAACATACGACAAATAAAGCTTAATAAGTTTTAAAAAAAGTAAACAATCAAAATGCAAAATAAAATAATTATTTTCATGCAAATTGAACAATTTGCATTTTATATTTTTCTGGGGTAGAAAACAGAAAAAATAAGAATAAGAGAAGCAAATTAATTTGCTTTAATTTAATACAGCTTGATTTATGTAGTTAATTACAAGGTTATCAAATATTTAATAATACAAAATAAAAAAATAGGCATGGTACAAAAAAAAAATTAGATTCATATTGAGGTTTAAATGAATAGAATCAAATAATTGAAGTTGAAATACCAAACACATTCTTAACGATTTTGAAGCATAATCAAAATTTTCCACTTTTTTAGGTACATATGAAACAAACGAAAATATTCTTAGTAACCACAAAACATTATTTGGGAGAGAATTTATGTACTTAGAATATCGAAATCTAAGAGTATCTCATAATTTTTATTACTCTACCACTAAAAATTGCTGCTTTCTTTTTTTATTACTAAAAATGAAAAAAAAAAAAAAAAAAANCTATGCTTTCATGGAAAGAAAAAAAAAAAAAAAAAAAAAACATTCCCGTACAAGTATTAACAACACATTATACAAATATTTTTTTTAAAAATAAAACTCACTTAGTAACATCGGGAAGCCACTGAGCAGTCAAACTAGGCCATTCAAGGGCATGTGTCATAACCAGATCATAAAGGAAAGGTGTATTTTTCTTCCATATTTTATACTCCTCATTAATCACTCTCTCTTCAACTAAATAAATAAAAAAAACATTAAGTGTTACTATATAAATATACACAAATATTTTTTTATTATAAAATTAAATCATGATAAATAAGGTAAAAATTATTCAACAGCATATTACATTAATTTCTAAAAGAGGTAATTTATGTTGAGCAGCGTGAAATATTTTAACATAAGAATAAAAAATTACTAAGTCTTGGCAACTTCAAAACAGCTGACAAGAAACTAAAAAAAACATTACAGAAGGAGACCAACTCTAAGGGTAGGTATAAGGGATATTTTCATATTGTGATCTGTTGAGCCAACTACAACTAGTAAGGCACCAAACGAATTTCAAATTTGCAAATTTTATAAGAAATCATGCAGAGATTTTCCCTGGGGTGGTTGCAAGATAAATCATTCTGTGATGTTTATGTTTTTCTCTCGATTTTTCGTGATGCCTGGAAATTGGTGATTATTTTGCCACAAATCATGATATGCAATTCGGTACTTTTCCATCATACCGGCGCAGGTGATAAAGGCGCCAATCAGGTTTCTTGATTTTTTTGATTTTTTTAAAAAAAATCAAAAGAATCAGATTTTTTTGATTTAAATCGGATTTTTTTTGATTTAAATCAGATTTTTTTGATTTTTATTCAAATACACTGTAAGAACTTTAATTTATGATTAAAAAGAATTATAAATGTTTCAAATTAACTTAATATTAAAACTATGTTGTAACAATATTTTAGAAGCTCTAACTAAAATAATTTTTCATTATAATACATGGCTTTGAATGCATAGCAACTGTTTCGAAAGAAATCCATGATTAAAATTTAAAGACTAGATTAAATAGAGAATTTAAAGAATACTTCAGGGGTCTGTCTGGGTTTTTCTGAGAGGTACCTATTTTGTGAAAATTAAAAATTATATTAAAAAATCAACGCAAATATAGTAAAAATAAGGATTTATCGTTTCTTACGAGACAAATTTTTTTTTTTTAAGAAAAAGTATTTTGTGTGATTATTCTATCATTTTTCCTAAAGTTGAATTTGTAAAGGTACCGTTAAACGGTAGTAAATTTGGCTTGGACAGCCCACTGCACTTTAACTATTAAAACAAAGTTTCAGTTAGCAAACCATAACTTTAATTTAAAATTGTGATTTCTTTTTTTT